GGCTATTGACCGAGGGTTAGATTCTTAGAGAAGTGGGTGAATGGTATTACTCTTGGAGTCATAATGGTTACTAGGGATGAAGTCTGTCTTGGTAAGGTTTAACTGTCAGCTTGACAGAACTTAGAATATTCTTGGAATAGAATCTCAGTTGAGGAACTGGATGATCAGTCTGGCTTCTGGTGTTATCAATGAGGGATTGTGTGGTTAACTGATGTAGGAGGGTCCAGCCCACTGTGGACAACACCATTGTCTAGGCAAGTGATCGGGAATTATATCAGAAAGCTAGCTGAGCGTAATCTCCTGCCAGTCAGCAATCAGCATCCTCCGTCACTCCTACCAGACTTCTTTGACTGTGAAGTGAGTCCTGGGTCAGAACAGATACTGTGTGAAATAGCAAGTAATCCCACCTTCAAGCCCTTGCCTTGACCTCCCTCCATGAGGGACTGTGACCCAGAATTGAAGCCAAACAAACCCTTTTTCTAACCTATATTGTTTTTGGTGCAGGTGTTTTATTATAGTAACAGAAATGAAACTAGAACAGGGTCGAATCTAGTGGCTCTCATAGATGGTTCTGGCATCTATGCACTAGAGATCCCCCACGTGTGTGTGTGTGTGTGTGTGTGTGTGTGTGTGTGTGTGTGTGTGTGTGTGTTTGGTGTGTATATATGTGGTGTGTGTGTTTGTGTGTGTGTATAGGGTGTGTGTCTTGGATGTAGTATGTGGTATATGTACAAATGTGTGTAAATGTGTATGGGAGTGTGTGCTGTATGCACAGAGGCCAGAGTAGATGTCAACCTTCAGACAGGGTCTCTTGATGAACCTAGAGTGAGAGTGGCAGCTGGTAAGCTCCAGTGACCCTCCTGTCTCTGTCTCTACCATGTACAAACAGCCTTAGCCATTTATAACACAGGTGCTGAGGATTTGAACTCAGATCCTCATACTGAACATGTCCCTGCCTCTGATTATAGATGCTTCTGTGACTGGCTTTAGCTTTGTGTCTGTGAATTACAGACATTCACACAGCCACTTTCTGGTTTTCTTATGGCTGCCTTAGCTACTGCTTAAACTCACAGTCTAGTGCTAGTATGGAATATATTGTCTTTCTGCTCATCTTCTTCCAAATCTGGTCCTTCTGTGTTTTCTACAACCCACCACCATCCCTCTAGTTACAAATGCCAGAGAGGCTTTAGAAGATGTCTCTGTCAGACCTCACATCTTAATTAGCTCTCACACACCTACTTTTCTCTCTCTTCCCCCCTCCCTCTCTCTCTCTCTG